TATATATATATATATATATAACAAATTATAGAAAAAGAAGAAATACAGTGATAGAAATAAATAAAACAAAAACAAAAAAAAATCATCTACAATAAATCATATTTCAATAAAAACATAAAACACCATTTACACTAAATACTTGTATCCACTAAATATATACATATATATACATACGCATATGTGCCTATAATTATGAAAATGATCTAAGTCAAATATATTTAAAGAATTACATTTCAACACTAACAAATCAATTCCATCTAATATTAAAATAACAAACACCATATCAACCGTCTCATTTTTTAACAATATCCCGTAAATTATACAGTTTAATTTAAAATAATCTCTCTCTCTACTGTATAAAATAACTGATAGAAAAAAAAAAAAAACTCTCATTTCTTTTCTTTTAAACAAAATTTCAATTAATAATTAAAAAACCCAATCTCATATATTATGAACACATACATACAATACAATACAATTATTATCAATAAGTTTTGATAAAACCGGCGAACAATTTGACACAACCAATGAACCAACTAAACGAACAAACTAACAGCCCCCTCCCCCTCCCCCCTCCCCTTCACCCTCTCACCACCCCCCTTCCCTTACCTTACCTTCCCTCTTCACCCTCAACCCCCTTGTTATTGTTTACTCACATCGAATACGGTGCGATGCTCCAACATGTAGAATTGGTATTAGAAACTGCCTTCTTCGTCGAAAACTCGATCCTATTTAAAGCTTCGGTACGGCGATTCTCGACACGAAAATAACACAAAGGGATCGTGCGAGAGCTTGCGCACCGCAGTATATCGTCACTCACTCTCTCTCACTCTCTTTCTCACTCTCTTTCTCTTTCTCTTTTTCTTTTTCGTTCTCTTACTTACACTTACTCTTTCTATCTTTTCAATGTTTCTCTCTTTATTTTCTATCTTATACTCTTATGTACCCACTCTCTCTTTCTCTCTCTATCTATCTATCTATCTATCTATCTATCTATCTTTATCTCTCTCTCTCTCTCTTATACTTTCTTATATATAAATTTGTCTTTCTCAGTTACACTAATAAGAAGAAGAAGAAGAAGAGGAAGAAGAAGAGGAAGAAGAAGAAGAAGACGCAATTTTCGACATCAACGAAAAACCGATTTGATACGAATTTGAACGATTCTTAAATAAGTAAGTAAGTAAGTAAATAAGTAAGTAATGGTGGATTAGAAGTGGTGTCAACGTATCTTTAATTTGTTTGTTTGTTTTTTTTTTTTTTTTTAATATGACCATCTTTTATTAAGTACACACACTTTATAATATTATCTCTTGAAGTCAATTTTTGTAGAGATAAAGAAGTTATTCTATTTTTATTTGTTTTTTTGTTTTTTTTTGGGGGGGGAGAGGGGTCTTTTAGGTCTTTTTGTCTTATTTTTATCTCTATCTTTTATCTTTATTTCTCTGTTCCTAGTTCTTATTACTTTCTTTCTTTCTTTCTTTCTTTCTTTTTCTTTCTTACTCATTTCATATTAAGCTAAAAAAAAAAAAAAAAAAGCTCTCGAGAAAATTCTTTTTTTTTTTTTTTTTTGTGGTAAGATAACGTATCATTATTTTTATAGAAATATTTTCATGCATCAATGTAATTTCATTTTTAAATACTTCCGGCTAGAAATTTGACTTTCGTTGTAGATATGTTTCATTTTTTCTTTTCTTTTTTTTTTAATTTAATATTTAAATTGATTGGATTTTGGGGTTAGGATGTTTCGTAATTTTTAAATACAATTTTTGTTTTGACTTTTATCAAACGACGACCCCCTCTGTTTCGTTACTTTTTTTTTTTTTTTTTTTTTGTAAGATAACACAACGTATCATTATTTTTATAGAAATATTTTAATGCATCAATGTAATTTCATTTTTAAATACTTCCGGATAATAATTTGACTCCCGTTGTATATGTTTCTTTTTTTCTTAAATTTAATATTCGAATTGATTGGATTTTGGGGTTAGGATGTTTCGTATTTGTTAAATACAATTTTTATTTTGACTTTTAAGTTTCTTTTTTCAAGATGGTTGACGTTTCATTCTTTTTAAATTGGTCAATTAACGAAAAACAAACTTAATTTTCTCAAAATTAAATATCGTTGACATTTTTTGTTTGAAAACTTGTCTTTCTATTTTTTTTTTGTAATAATAATAATAATAATAATAACAATTAAATAAATATACAAGAAAAAGGAATAAACTTTTGTTCTGTGAAACGTTTCAATTTGAAATAAACTTTTGTTTGTTTTCTTTTCTTTTTAGCAAGTAAGAAAAACTATTAAAAAAAAAAAAAAAAAAGAAGAAAAATAAACAAAACGAAGGATTTTCAATGAAGTATTTTTGTATGTAAAGAAAAAAAAATAAAAAGAAAATAGTAAGAAGAGAGAAAGAGAGAGAGAGAGAGAGAGAGAGAGAGAGAAAAGACACATTGAAATGAATTTTTGCCGCCATCCGCCATTGATCTTTGTCAAGTTCTTTGACCGTGATCAAAACAACACTTATATATATATATATATTTATAATAATAATAATAATAATAATAATAATAATAATAATAATAATAATAATATATATAAATAAGTGTTGTGTTGATATAATAAAAACAAACATAAAATGAAAGATTAAAATACAAGAGTAAGATTAAATATATCCAGTTGAGAAGGAAAATGGAAAACCAAAAACAATAATAATAATAATAATAATAATAATAATAGTAATATATAGTACAGTTCCAGGGAAAATGACGAAGATGAAAATCCGCTTACTTACAGTTGATTCATTCGCAACGATTTTTCTCACCAATTTACCAAAAACATCATCCACTAACTCAAACTCACTCAAACTCACTCAAACTCAACTCAACCAACCAAAAACTCGACATGAAGAGAAGGGGCTTTAAACACAAACGAAGAAAAAAAAAGGTACACAAGAAAAGAGAAGAAAACAAGTGGGGGAGGGGGAGGAAAGTGAGAGAGTTCTGCTGAAGAAAAAAAAAAAAAACAAAGAAAAAAAGAAAGATAAAAACAAAGATAAAAACAAAGATAATTTACGTTAGTCCAAAATCTTGGCAAAGAAAACATATTGTCTTCTACAAATTCTATTATTTGATGATCATGCGTCATTTTGTGTTTGAAAACAAAGGAAAACAATGAATTCAGCAAGAATTTCCCCTTCAACCTTGAAAAGTTTCTTGACACGAAAGAAAAAAAAATAAAAAAAAAAATATATAATCAAATTAATAAAAAAAAAAAAATTAATTAAACACACATACATACGTACTATTCATACACACCGACATACAAAAAATGTATACAAAAAATGTTAGAAAAAAAAAGGAGAAGAAAAAAACAAACTAAAAAAAAAAAAAGTAAAAATGTCATAAACAAATATTGTCGAGTATAATAATAATAATAATAATAATAAATAATAAATATTAACAATAATAGTAATAATAGTAATAATTAATAACAAAGGGAGAATAAAGTATGTTTTGGTTTTTTTTCTTTTTTCTTTTTTGTTGGTTATGTTTGTTCTCAAGAAGAGGTATCGTAAATATAGAAAAAAAAAAAAAAAAAAAAAACTAAAAAACAGAAGGATAAATCTTATTT